AGAGTGGGGCATTTTCTCAACTGTGGTTGCTTTTTTGGAGCCCAGGGCTCAGATAAAGTTCAATGTTGTCAAGCGTTTAGTTTAGGGCCTAGCCCCAGGTAGTCATTCAACAAGGCTTTCTTTTCCTCCCTTCTTCTAATGTACAGTATGATGTGGGAGTTCAGAAAAGAACCTGAAAGATTTACTCTGCTTGGGAGAAATGGATTTGACAAAAGATCCCGAATATTAAAGAATGGATAGTGGTTTGCCAAAAAGAAGAAGAAAGAAAAGCATTCTAAATATCTCTAATATAATATACAAAGACATAGAGGCTCATAAGAGGTTTGTGTACTCAGAGATTAGCTGTAACTTCAATGTGGTGCAGGGAGTAAACAGACATGAGGTAGATTTGAGTCAAATTGTAAAAATCCTTGAAAAGTCATTTAATACCATTTCAGGAAAACAGTCCAGGAATTTATGATTCTAATAAGATGAGGTTCTAGTTTATGAAACTCTTTCTCTGTTGTGTAAGGCATGAAGGCAGGGAGAACAGTTAGGCACGTAGTTTATGGTCCAGAGAGGACGAAGGCCTGAACTAGAGCAGCGGCCATGAGGATGTCGATAAGACTGATTAAAAAGATAAGTACAATTTACTGGACATATTATGTAATTGTGAGGATGGGAAGCATGAGGCGAAGGAGGGAGTGGGATAGTGAAAGATGATAATGTTAATAACTATATAGGCTAATATTTCAAGTGCTTACAATGTGTCATGCATGGTTCTAAGAGCTCTATAATTATCTCTTTTAATCCATACAATAGTCCTATAAGTACTTTTTTTTCTCTATTTTCAGTTGAAGAAAATAAAGCATGGAGAAAAATAGCTTGCTCTTATTTTCACACATAGTAAGTAGTAATGCCAAAGTCCAAGCCCATGCTGTCAGAATTCAGAGACTGAAGTTTGGATAGTGTTGCCATTTAGTGAGATAGAAGGGTATAGAAGGGATGTCAGATTTATGGGGAAAGTATTTTAGTTTTGGACAGGTCAATATTGAGTGCAGGAGGCAGTTGATTAAATGGATTTGGATCTCCAGAGAGAGATTAGAACCAGAGTTGGAGACTTGAAGGGCATCAATATATAGGTATGTACTCAGTAGGGGTCTCAAAACTGCCTTAGGTGAATGAGATGCACAAAAGTAGGGCTGGAGAGTTAGAGGGAGGGGAATAGTGAAATAAACAAGGGGAAGCAGTAGCTCGAAGACACGTTTGATCAACTTCAAGATTTCATAGGCAATACCTTAGACCTGGAGAATGTTTATTTAATCTAAACCCACTGGATTCTTGAGTGGGTGCCAGGATGAATTTCATACTGCCTATGGTAGGCTGAAGAAATCACACCCCCACTACCAAAAGACATCTACATCATAATTCCTGGAACCTGTGAATTCTACTTTATATGGTAAAATAAATAAAAGTAAACAATGCTACTTTATTAGGTAAAGTAAATTAAATATAAATTTAATTGCAAATATAATTAAAAATCTTGAAATGGGGAGATTATCCTGGATTATCCAGTTGGGACCTGTATGCAATCACAAGTAGTAGCCTGTATGCAATCACAAGTAGTAGACAGAGGGTGAGAGAGAACTTACATACAGAGAGGAAAGATGAAGTAAAGACAGATCAGAGAGACATTTGAAGATGCTAGCCTTTGGAGTGATGTGGCTGCAAGATAAAGAATGCCAGTAGCTACCAGAAGCTGGAAAAGACAAGAAATGGATTCTCCCCTAGAGCAGCCAGAGGGACTATAGTCCTACCAACACCTTGAATTCAGCCAAATAATATTGATTTTGGACTTCTGACTTCCAAAACTGTAAGATAATAAATTTCTGTTGTAAAAGCCACCAAATTTGAAAAAAAAATGGCATAAATGATAGTAGCTTTGTTCATTCCTCTTGCAATCAAATCAAAGTTGTGACAGAAACACAGAGCAAACAACAAGCAAAGTCACCTGGGATCCAGATGAACAGAAGCACTACAACTGGAGAGAGAAATAACTAATCAACCTGTAATGGTAGAAGGTAGGAGGGAGTGAAGACATGAGGCTGCCAGGTCAGGAGGGGCTGAGTGGGACAGAGGTTACGGCAGCAGCAGCCAGCAGCTGAGGATGCCTTTTAAAGGTGCCGTGTCCACAACCGAACTTCCGTGGTCACCAACTCGCTTACTCTGAGCACCAGTGCCGGGTAGGTTGCTGTGGGCAGTGGGGTGAGGGGAAACCAAGGACTTACAGGAGGACACTGAGTTGTCAGAGTGAGGGCCAAGGGCGAGGCTTTCCTGCGCAGAAGGGCCGGTGGTATCTATTGTTTCTCTGTTGAGCCTTTCCCCCTACCAGCGTGCCAGACACAGCGCCGCCATAGCTGTGACGTCATCACTGGATAACAGAGGTCGCTCTGCCCAGAGGATTCCCTGAAACTCCACCTCCTCCAACTTGCGGCCCCACCCAGGCTACTTCCAGTTGTGTCTTAGGTGAATTCTGTGAAACTTGCTGAACAGCGCCAAGACTCACACTGGTGGCGGTTGGCCTCGGTTTCTGGTGTGGTTTCTTGAGGCAACTATAAGCACAGCATCTGTGGATTGCTTGCTGAATCTTAACAGGTGGCCCTGGAGGGGTACGGGCTAGGGCTAAACTTGGCCTGCAGCTGGACTCCTCTCAGAACTGTGCCACTGGACACCTACTACACAAAGCCACGCTAATTAGACCGGGAGACTTAGGATCTTTGCTTAGTACATAGAAACAGACACAGAAAGGTAGCCAAAATGGGAAGACAAAGAATCAGAAACCATATGAGAGAACAGAACAGAGATCCAGGAATAATGGGGTCTAATGTAATCTAACAGATGCAGAGTTCAAAACACTGGTTATAAAGGTGCTCAATGAACTTAGGGGAAGAGTAGATGAACTCAGTGAGAACTTTAGCAAAGAGATTAAAAAAAACATAAAAATGGAAATGGAAATGATAAAAGGGAACCAATAGAAATGAAGAACACATTATCTGAGATGAAGAGTATATTAGAAGGAATTAACACACTTTATCCAGTAATCCTTAATTCTCAATAGGTCTCAGGCCTCATTTGCCACATATTAGACACAGTACTTTAGTTATGTGCTTTGGTCAAGTGTTTTTGGAACACATCGAATAGGGAGACCTTCAGCTTCATGGAGAAGGGAAAGGATAGAGGTCTTTACCTGGAAATCACTGTCCATAATTAGCTTATAAACCCCCAAAATGTTAATGAGAGTCCTGCAGACATGACAGCTTCTCTGACTGGACTGGATCTTGAGGGTTCATATGAGCCATCTCCCTGTCTTTGCCTGCACAGAGCCAAGATCCTGAAGGTGAAAGGGCATCTGGTTTCTGGCAGACACTTGGCTTACTGGGTGGCATGACTACTCAGGGCAGAGTAACCGCCATTCAAGAACCACCGGCAGACTGCATGTTAGGAGAATCTGGTTGGAGAAAGCAACATATATGGAGAATGGATTGGAATTTGTTGCCCTAAAGTGAAAAAGAGCCTACTCACAGCAATGCTGTTAAGATTGCTAGCAACAGTTCTCTCTCCAGTGTTAGTTCGGAAAACAACTTCTGTGAGGATTGGGACAGTCTTGAACACATTTTAGGCAACCTATAGAATCACAAGAGCTTCATAAAATTGCTTTCCCCTCAGAACTCCAGAATTCCAAGGAATTATTCAGGAAAACTATACCTTTGTGGATGTTGAAACCAACATAGCAGTGGAATGCTGGCTGAGTAAACTACAATTTTCAGCTATGGAAGAGAACCTAGAGATCACACATTTTAAGCCCTTCACTGTACAGATATGAAAACCCAGCAGATTTTTCGACCCAACTTTAGATATTAGATATTTGCTCTGTAGTCTTGCTTCAGTGTCCATAATGTTTTACTGGGTCAGGTGCTGGCTGATTCGTGGCAATGAAAACATAAGCGCATTTCCAGTACACATGACAATCACAATTCCTCCCATGTCCGCCAGGGGGCACAAACTAAAATTCCTCCTGCTGTCCAGACACAGCCCCGGGTGGCAGGGGAAACCAGGAAATTAGTGGAACCTTGAGCCTGAACGCTTGCAGCTGGTACGTTTGCTTTCAGAAAAGAACACTTCCGGCCGGCGAGGCTGTAACCCCAACTTGTGGTTTGGTCGTCCCCTAGCTATCACATTCTGATTTGCCACGCTAATGCCGGGAGGCGGACTTGCGTCGGGGTCACGCTCTCCCATTGGCTGCTGGCGCGGCGGCGGTTTGGAGTGAGGCTTGCACGTTGACTGAAAGCTGTGTGGAGTGGCGCGACACAAGGCTTGGCGTCTAGCCCAGTTTCTGGTGGGAAAACGGGGCCGGGTCAGGTCTGGGTCCCCGGGGTATGGATCGCGTGTGTAGTGCGTGGTGCGGGAAGTGTGTCAAAGAGAAAGGGTTGTCGCCACTCTGGGCCCAGCGCATCGTGGTCGCCTGGCTCAGTAGGGCCGAGTGGGATCAGGTGACGGTATATCTATTCTGTGACGACCATAAATTGCAGCGGTATGCGCTGAATCGCATCACGGTGTGGAGGAGCAGGTAAGGCAACAGGCTCCGCCCTCCTGCCTGGATGGCATCTCACCTCTTCCTTTGTGGAATTCCTATAAGGCCTTATTCTCCAGTCTTCCCCAGAATTACCCCTTGGTACCCCTATGAGTGGTTTGGGCGTTGCCTCTCTCTCAAATGCCTGGGGGCAAGTCGCAGCCAAGCTCTTGTACTAATCCCGTTTGCAGAAAGGGGGTGTGTCTCAGCAAGCATCTTGTCAAATCTGAGTTTATACCCTTATCCTCATCTTGGGGAAGGTGCTGGAAGGACCACTGTGGCTGAGCCAGGGCTTGAGGAGTAGGTTAGTACCCCAGGGTGGAATTCTGATTTGAATTAGGGAGATTTGGGGTGACTTGCCTGCAAAACCATGTTTGAATGGGGCACTGCAGTACAGTTGGTAAGATCGACTTGGGAGCAGACAAGGGATAAGGGTCTTCTCTAACAAAATGAGTTGAGGATTTCACGGTGAAAGAAAGGGGCATGTCCACACTGCGTTGCTGGTCGATTGTGTTAGATGTCTCGTGTGTAACCTAGCCAGCCACTCATACCCATTGGATTCCAAGAATATCACCCTTCCTCTTCCTACCTTCTTGATTTGTGGCTGTTCCTGTACTGTTGAGCCAGTATATCTTTGGAATAACCTAAAGCAACCTAGGTTCTGAGGTGGAGGGTGGACTAGTGTAAGGGACCTTTATGATGGTGCTGGACTGTGGCCCTTTAGGTTAGGCAACGAACTCCCCCTGGCAGTGGCTTCTACTGCTGACCTGGTACGCTGTAAGCTCATGGATGCAACTGGTGGCTTGGGCACTGATGAACTCAGACTGCTCTATGGCATGGCGTTGGTCAGGTAAGACCTACATGGGTAGGGTGGAGGGTGGTTTGGGGGATAGGGAAGGGGAGGGGGTAGCATATGATAATTGAATCTTGGCTTCAGGTGTTACCTGAAGCAAAAATGACTGTATTTCCTGCTTATGGGTTACCCTGCGATTGCTTGACTTGACAGCTTTTGTTACTGCCTGTCAACACACATTCCTCTTTTTCTTTTCCTGAGAGCCTTTTGTCTTCCATTTTTCTCCCCTTCTCTTTCTTGGAATGTGGGGTGGGGGTGGTTCAGACCAAGTCATCTCTGTGGGACTCTTCCAACTTTGACAGTTTAGTTTTTTTTCTTCCCGTTTAACTCTTTCACGCAGAGGAACTTTCCTGAACGGTTCAATGTCCCTGGCCATGATTTAATGTGGATTTTCCAACTTTACCCCATACCACCCTTTCCTCTTTTCTCCATGGACACTGAAAGGTTACTGAGTTATGGAAGTGGAGACATGGGCTGGGAATTCCTGACTTAAAGGGACTCAGAGTGGTTCTAGCTCTCTCAAGTACATTGGGAAAAAAGCTGCTACTGAGTTTTCTCATCTGTCAAAGTCTTTGCTCATCTCATCCTATACCCTTTGTCTGTTGGGAGGTCCTCCCTAGCTGTTCTTACCTTCTCCGTTGTTTAGCTGTGCTCCCCATATCATTCAACATAGTATTATGTTTTAGCATTTATAACAGTATGTTCTAGCATAATATGCTATATTGTGTTATAACTATCCTAGACTGAATTCTTCAAGGTCAGAGCAGTGTCTTATTCATCTGTATGGATGGCTTCAGAACAGGGCAGACTCTCAGTAAATGTTGGACTGGATGAAACCATTCGTGCTCTGGCTGACACTAACCATAAGAACAGGAGAGAATAGTCAGTGGAGAGGTTGTGGAAATGTAAGGTGTCAGTAACTCAGCAAGGTGTTTTGAAGCCCCACTGATTTGAATAAAAGAGTTACTTGGGCTGTGCCACTTATTTTTCCCCCAACCCTAGGTTTGTGAATCTTATCTCGGAGAGGAAGACAAAGTCTGTCAGGCTTCCCCTCAAGTTCCTGGCTCAGGAGGTGCGTATGATAAAGTGGTCTTGTTCAATTCTCTCTCCCCAGGAGGGCTCACTAAATGGGGCATGTGATGATGTGGACACATAGTCACACTAGCTTATCCCACCACTACCAGCCAAGCCCAGCAAGAACCCCAGAGCCTCAGCCTCCAGCTTGAAAGAAGCAGATTTGCTCCCTTGCTCATGGCTGCTATCTTCAGTGGGCTTGGCCTGCCCAGTTTGCTGGGAGTGGCTCAGTGAAGCTGAGGTGCTCAAATGAAATGCATTACTGGGTGGGGACACTAAAGAGGTGGCAGTTACAGTGCCTGCCCTCTAGGAGCTGACAGTCTGAGGGAGGAGACAAGCTCAGCCAAGCAGCATGAAAATGCCAGGTATTCCTGCCTTGAGTGAGTAGTATGTGAGGTGTGTAGAGTCTAGGAGGGCAGGCTGGTTCTCAGTAGTCAAGAAACACTTCCTGGGAGGGGTTTGGGACAGGAGGACAGAGGGAG